GGGGGGGGGGGGGGGGGGAGAGCCCTTCTTGAGGAACACACAGCTGGCCGAGAGGCCCAGCCGTTGCAGTTCTGCCCTTCCTGGGAAAGAGTTCCAGGGCCCCCCCCCTCCCCACGCAGAGGGGCAGCCAAGCCGAGGGGTACCTTCCTCGTGGCCCAGCTGCTTGTTCTTCGCTCGCTTCCGCAGCTCTGCCTTGTCCGTGTCGGCATTCACCGCCTCGAACACCGTTTCGGCCACTTCCTGCTGCCAACGCTCGGAAATCACCAGGGGAAAATTCTTGTAGAGCTCCTGGTCGTAATCCAGCAGCTGGCAGGAAGGGAGAGGAGGGAGGATTCACTTCCAGAACCGCCGCCTGGTTTGCAAGCAACAGGCAGGTCGTCCGCAGCACGTTGAGGAGCAAACCAGCCCGCTAGTGCTCCGGAGGCCCCACCCCGGCCTGGAACAGCCTCCCTTCCACCACCCAAGGCTGAGGCTGCCCAGTGCCGTATCGGCCCCCTCCTCTCCTGCCCCTCCGCTGCGGACCTTGATTCCCTTCGTGTCCTCTTCGTCGAAGGAGCCGATGTCGAAGGCATCTGCTGCGTTGACCTCTCCCCGGGGGGGGATCAGGGGCGGGGAGTACTGGCAAAGCAAGGAGGGCAGAGTTGCCAAGGGGAGCCGGGGCCTCTTCCCCTCTTGATCAGAAGCGCCAACAAAAACCAGGCCTTGGCAATCGGGCTCAGGTTCGTTCAGGACCTCGGCCGAAGGGCCACCACTGGGCTCACCTTTTGCAGGTAAACGTGCTGCCAGTCAATGCCTTGGAAGAAAGGGTGAGCCTTGACCTCCTGGGCACTGCGGGATGAAGCACAATCACGAGCTGAGCTTCACAGCCCTGAAGCCGCACGGCTGCCCCGCCTCCCACCCCGAGTGGCCGCCTTCAGCCCGGCAGTGGGGAAAATGGGCCGATGCCGGGGGCAGGAGTTTAGCCACCGCCCAGCCGCAGCGCAGGGCCGGGATCCACCTGGCAGGACGGGCAGGCAAGGCGGGCGGCTGCGAGAATATCTGGGCTGGGCAAACCCAGAGCTTCCCTTGGAGCAAGCAGCCTCCGCCCCTGCTGGGACTCCCTCCCTCCCCACCCAGCAGGCCCAGCCCAGCCAGAGGAGGCTCTGAAGCGGGAGAGGCTGGGCTCACCCCCCCCCCCCAGGGGGCAGGGAGAAGGGGGCGGCAGTGCAGGCGGGAAGCGGACTTCAAGTTCATTGGAAGCGCCTGCAGGGAAGGGGGGGGGGGCTTGGAAAACGAACCCAGCGCACTTTAGCCAAGGAGGAGGCGGGGGAAAGAACCGAATGGCCAGCCCCCCCCCTTCCCCCACTTTCCCAGGGGGGCTCACCTGCCACCTTGGCAGCCGAGCCGCTTCGTGGAGTCCCGCTGCAGAAGCCCCTCCAGGAGAGACTGGAGTTCGGGGGAAAAGGAATCCGGCAGCTCCACGTTCTGGGGAGGAAGCACAGACGCTCCAGGAGCCGAACCTGCCCTGCGAGGCGGACCTCCCAAGGGCCCAGGGTGGAGCCCCGAGGGCCCCAGGAGGCCCAAAGCCCCTTCCCCAAGGAGGGAGAACGGAAGCCGCAGCGCACCCAGGCCGGAGCCCCCGGCTTCAGCGACTCTGCCGATTTCCTTGGAGCAAAAGCTCCTGGGCCCCAAGAGCCACGGGAGGAAAAGCACCGGCTGCTGGCTGACCTATTTCGGTTCCCGCCTTTGGAACTGCTCGGGCGACTTCCCTGCCAGGAAAGGGGGCCGAGCCCACTTACCACGGTGAGCGTCATGCGGTCGATCTCGTGCTTGTCTTTGGTTTTGTGCTGTCTGAAAGGGCTGTGCCTGCAAGGGGGGCAGGGGGAGGAGGAGGAGGAGGGATACAGCTGGGAGGAAAACCGATGGATCCTATCTATTAACTTTTCACCCGTCCAGGAAACGCAGCTACGTCCCCTCCTGCCTCACCGCGGAATCGCGCCCGAGAGCAGCACCCCAGCCGGCTCACCCTCTGAGCAGCTTGAACAGCATGCAGCCCAGGGAGAACCAGTCGGCAGTGCAGTCGTAGGCCGTTCCCTTCTGCAGCACCTCCGGAGCCATGTAGCCGTGGGTCCCCCTGGAAAAGGCATGCAGGCGTGGGAGGGGGGCTGGGCCAACCCCACAGAAAAGGGCCCCGGGGGAGGCTTCCCCGGCAGAGCCCATCACGCAGGGGCGCTGCGTCCCCACCCACTCACACGCTGGCGTGGGGCTTCTTCTTGGAGAAATCACAAGCCAGGCCCAGGTCGGAGATCCGCACGTGGCCGTGTTCGTCCAGAAGGATGTTTGCCGGCTGGAGAGAAAGGCACCCGTGACTCTGCCAGGCCAGCAGCCAGGTGGAGCAGCTGGCCAAGGCCAAGGGCAGACGCGGAGGAAGCTCCGGCCTGAGGAGAGGCTCCGTGAAGCCCCAGAAGTGTGCAGGCCTTGCGACCAACCAGCGCTGGCCACAGAGAGAGCAGAGAGACCCTCACAGCCTCCGCTTCCAGGGCCATCCTGCCGCCTCCTTCCCACTTCCGTTTTGGGATGCCCCCTTCAGGGACACGGTGCCGGTCGCAGGCAGAGCCCCCGTGCCCTGCCTCGGCCTCCCTGGCGCCATCAGGCCTCCCGGCAGCGTTACCTTCAGGTCCCGGTAGACCACAGAACGGCTGTGCATGTGTTCCAGTCCCAGGATGATCTCGCTGGCGTAGAAGCGCATCTCCTTCTCCGGAAAGACCCCGTGCTGGGAGAGGTGGTAGTGCAGGTCCCCACCTAGGGCCAAGGGGGCCCAACCTCAGCGGCAGCTCTCCCGGGCTCAGGCTGTCCTGTGCCCCTGCCCTGCACGGAGGGCCAGGGAGAGCCCCGAGAGACCCCCCCCTGCCCCCCCTCGTTCACCTACCATTCATCAAGTCCAGGATGAAGCAGAGCTTGTCGGCCGTGTGGAAGGCATACGTCATGCACACAATGAAAGGACAGTCCTGGGGGGGAGATTGGCACAGTGCAGAGACCCCCCTCCAGAGCTCTGGGCCCTCCTCTCAGGGAGAGCGGCTGGCCCGACAGAGGCAGGAGGAGCCAGCAGCCATTCCCAGGGGCCCAGGCACCATGGACCCCCCCCTCCCCGGGAGAGGGGCCCAGGAGACCGACTGGCCAGGCGGCCCTGAGGGGAAGCCCCCTGCCCGTTTCTCTCCCTGCCTCTCGACAGGCCTGCCCAGCTCCGGACAGACTGACTGAACTGCAGTGGCGGCAGTCCGTCCTCCCCCCCCCCCCCCCCCC